GAACGTTCATCTTAGAGGAGATGGCGTTTTTGGACATATTTATACGTACCTGACGACCAGCGCATCGTTTTTACCGGTGGTTAATATACGGGCGGCCCGATTGCATCATACAAGTAATCTAAATAATGCAACTTAGGATAGAGGAAAATATCTGGACAGCAATTGCTTTCAGCTAGGTCTGGTCACTCAATCGACGAACACATAAATTGTCAACTTGACTGTTTTCTTTCCAGTTAGTTCATTCACAAATCTACAGTAAAACTCCAAATCCCCCAGACTTTATCAATGTTTTACTGCCTTGTTAATGGCCATTACACCCTTGTATCTCTTTTCCACACTGCACTACTTTGTCTTTTTCTATCATCGGTTATGTGGCTGTATGGGCAAGGAAGCAAAGTTTGATGTCTGACCGCAAAAACGCATTAGTTTACAACAGTTTGGCTAACAAATGACACACGATTAGGCGTCAAGACTGGAAATGATTTTAACATCGTAAAAGCTAAGGACATGCTTTAGGTACGCAAACCCAACCATCGTATAACTCATAGTTTTAACAATAATTGTCTTGTGTATCGGCTTCTTTAGTACTCTCAGTCCGCATAGTAAGTTAGAGCAGTTACTCCGTCAGTGATGACTCAGCATTCGCATTTGCCGTTTGCGGAAAATTATGACCTTGTATAGGCGATAGAAAGGCGCCTTTCAGGACTAACACAGAAGGGTTGATCTGTAATACTCAATAAATGCAAAATAAGGATATTGGTATACAAGACGAATGGTAGTACTTGTAAGAGCGGTAACCGTTCATCAACCCTAATGGCGATAGTTATTACCTTCAATAGGTGGCTTTTATACCTGCTATAGATTTCGTTTTGCCTAGGCTGGCTGCCAGTTTTCAATAAATCTGCTCACTTTCCAAACTGACGATCAGAACTAAGATATTTATAAGACCATTTACAAGCCTGCTTTTGGAAAGCAAGATATATTTAACGGAAACTGACATTGGCTCTCTGCCTCAAAAGCCTTGAATTTGGGCAGCAGATTATTGAAGATTAATTATAATGAAAAGAACACTTACGAAGACCACTGTATTGAATATGAAGAGGAGGTACTTGATAAGTTTTGTACCGCAAGAAAGTGCCATGGTTTTGCTGTTGTGCCCCAGACTTTTCTGGTCAGACACCAATTTATATGATTTATTTGCAAAACCGCCACTAGATCTTCGATTTTCTGCGGCCAATCAGAAGAATATATGCTATGTGTACCTGTTAGGTAGTTGCCAGCCCACGTAGGTAGACTGGTGTAGTCCTGAGTGAGTAAGCCGCCCGTGTCGGTCTAGGTCCAACTTGCTGTGCGCGAAGTGCTTGGTTGGCACTATGGTGCACCACACATTCGCAATGCCATATGTGCGTCGAAGCATCCTTACATTGTCAAATCGAACGAATCTAACTTTTATAGGAAAAAATGTGACTTTGATCGGGCATTGCCTATTCTTAATAATGACATAAATATTTGTTTTGAACGTAACCCTTTTAGTTTAACAGATTCCTCTCAAATAAGATAGCATAATAGTCAAAAAATTTGAGTCATTCTTTTTACTGTTATTCCTTAAGCAATCATCTTGACTTTATTTTTCCGTGCTTGAGCAAATTAAATGTCTTGAATATTATGTTATCACAGCAAATTTTTTGAGTAGTTAGTTAAGGCGAAAACGATTACGCGAAGACAGATTTACTCGAACAGCAGTTACTCCCGATTTCAGCGAAACGAAAAAATTAAATCTTTCGAAGTTTCCCACGCTTACAAAATGAATTTCACTTCGCCAGCACATGTAGCAAGTTGGGAAACAGCTGGAGACTTTTTCTAACGCAAGCCGGCTATTAATATTAATGATTTAGTGATGAGTCCAAATTTTGGTAAACAGTTCAGGCTGTAAAGTGCATTTCGGCGGCATTCATCATCATATGGAGCGGCAACTTAGTAATCACCTGTTAAGATGGGTGTACGCCCAAAGTTCGTGGACATCCAACTCCAATTTGTTTAAGATATCGTACTGGCATGCCACGATGGCTTCTATGCACTTATAAGAATCATAAAGGTACTTGCTGTGGACAAGGTCTTTTTGAGACAAACGTCCTTACGGCATTGCAGAAGACTGAAGTTTTTGATCCAGAAGCTTATAGATCGGTGTGCTCCCATACTCGATTGAGCAAATTCCTGACCTACAGCGACGTAGGACGAGGGGTGGCGAGGCAATGGTGAAATTCGGTTTGACGGAATGCTTATGCAGAATGGCATTACCGACAAAGACAAGGGAGACTGGAAAGGCCACTACTGGCTTATAAGCCGTCGTCCGCCAGTCGTACCCAACCCCGATGTGTGGAACACCCGAGGCTTGAACTCGCGACCTGTTAGTTGGAAGTCCACGCCTCTAACCACTGGGCCACGAGCAAGTTGCCCTGTCGGTTTTCGATCGGGAATATACAATATAGGGGGCACTTACCGATCGTTGTGTCTTGTGGGCTCTCTCTCGAGCCCAACCAGCAGCCGCACAGCGGCGCATGATATAGGCAGAATGGCATTACCAGAACCATCGGGCTCGTGGCCCACTGGTTAGAGGCGTGGACTTCTAACTAACGGGTCGCGAGTTCGAGCCTCGAGTGTTCCACATTCCGGGGTTGGGTATGACTGGCTGACGACGGCTAAGAAGCCAGAAATGACCATTCCAGTCTCCCTTGTCTTTGTCGGTAATGCCATTCTGCCTATATCATGCGCCGCTGTGCGGCTGCTGGTTGGGCTCGAGAGAGAGCCCGTACGGCACAACGGGACGAGTGAGTTCCGTAAGAACGATCGGTGAGCGCCCCGTACCATTGGAATGCTTATGGCCTATCTGCTGGACCCCCGTCAATGGATCATCTACGCAGTGTACGAACGCATGTTTGTGTTCCTGGCCACAGATACCGATCACGGTTGTGACCGGTCAAATGAGGGCAGAATAAGACGGAACTGGTTCTGTATTAATCTACCCGCACTTTATGCCGTTCACCCCCACTGACATGGGTGTACATATGCTCACGGACGTTGTATAGAGACCACCGTGCATCCAATCAATACCACCTTGCCCGGAGTTTGCTGAAGGAACCAGCTTGATGCGGACTTCGGAATACTAAATTACGCAAAGGCGACGCAATGTCACATGCGCAGTCTTAATGACTGGTTGAGAGCGTTAAATCAACAAATCAAAATCCACTCATATATGCGAAAAGGCACATTTCAGGACGCAGATGAGAGGAGAAATGCTTGGTCCCTGAGGCGAAATGTATATTCACCCGAGGATTTCATGAAAAGTCGACAAGACGAGCTCAAACGACACAGTCTTACAAGTTTTAAGAGAGCCCTAATATGTCAAAAAGACCGTCGGCTGCATTCTTGCTGCACTCGGAGTTTGAGGGTGTCATATGGCTCTGCCGCAGTGATTGGAAACGTCTGGTGTCGTTTACCGCATCTGCTGTATTCGGAAGCAGTGCAAATGCGTTGTGAATGTAGAAACCGCCGAATAGACAACACCAGTGTGTAGGAAAATCGCCAACTATCAAATTGCTGTCATCCGCCCCTGCGAACCCGGCTTGTCCAAAATTCCCGTACGGGATGGCAATGGCTTAGTTTGTGAGCTGCTAAGATTATGCTCTTCTGTCTGAACTGACGGGGAATGCTCACCAAACACGTGCCAAAAATGCAGTAATCAACGACTCGGATATTGGTGGCCAGTCCATCACCATATCTTGTGCGAACCTCTGGAAAGATCAAATCATGGATGCCTATCGGTAGAGATGTTTCTAATAAAATAGGAAAATTCCTCCGCAGAACCCACTTTCTCCTGCCAATTCTTCATATTTAGGTGTTTTCGACCAATCCACATAAACTTCCGATAGTACCTCTCTGGCCTAAAATACGGACTAAAGACAATCTACAACTTTATGGAGCCTTTATAATTTGATCAGACCAGACACTTACCTGTTCGTATGCTTTAACATTTGAAAGAGACAATAAAAATTTACCCTAGTTTAGAGGTTGCATATCGACCTTATCCATCAAAACATGTCCGCGCAAAGACTCCTTGATAGAAAATTCTGCTTTTGAAGGCTGAAATGACACTGCAATAGGAGTATCCTTTTAGTGATTTGATAGTCATTATCCGGAAAGCCGATGATGAAAAAGTACTGGTTATTTATTCTGGGCGAAATATCCTTGTTGCCGACTGTCACCGTCGTTCTAGAGAGGATGTCCTTCTGAAAAATGCTTACAATCATTAAATTCCACTATAGTATCTTTATGAGAAGATGCACTTTTACGACTCCGACATTGCAAGATCTGGTCATACAGACTTCTTCATCAAAAATTGTTCTTTAGAACTTGAAAGAGCAGTAATATTAGCTGTTTGATTCTTCCTAATATGTCGATAACTTTGGCAATCCCGATGTTATTTATGGAGCCAGAATATGTTAGATGGTGGCATGACTGTTTTCGGTGAACCAAAGGCACAATGACGCTACTGCGCAGTAAAATTACAAAGTCACATGATTACCATATGACATTTTAAAGACTGCCAAAATGTTACCCTGCATCATATGGTCTGAAGCGCTTATTAGTGATATAAATATTTTAAATATTTTAATGTGGACTCTACAGTTATGCACTGCGAAAACCTCTTTTTCCGCCACTTTGTTTGCTAGATAACTTATAAATGTGGAAACAGAAACCTTTCTTGCTCTTTTATGTAGAATACAAGGTGGCAGCCACGAAATTTTATTTTTTTGAGCAAATTTGTAAAGATAGCCGAGAGATATTTAAAATAAATGATAATAAATAACACAAAACATGACGATGGTTATCAAGGCGGGCTCAGAAGTAGAGCGTGCAATTAAGGTTGTTAGTCTGTCATTTATATAGTAATAGACCCAGAACAGACTGCAACCTTCCAGTCACCATTATGAAGATAGGACCTAGACCTTTTCATACTCGCCAATTTTCTTGGCCAGGCAGCAGGCTGAAATGACTGCTCCAAGCTGGATGATCGCCATAACAACGATGATAATTCCGATGATTAAAGCTTTGTCCTTTATCATTTCGTACATGGCTTTTGCGCAGCCCTGTTGGAGAAAAAAACGGTACAAACGTGCGTCCTGTGAGTTATAAGAGTTAATAAGATTAACAATGGCGTCGAAAGTTTTGCCAATTTAACTTTGTGTTTGACAAGTTGTTGCAGAAATAAGAAGGACATTTAACTTAGTAAATGTCGCTTTGTAATTTCCTCAGAACTTAACTACGAACTTGGAGTAGATCAGTTTATTCAGGGTCTGTAGTCTCAGACCGAGATTTTTACGTATGAATATCTGGGCCGAAGTCCATAAGCGACTACGGGTAACCGTGTAATACTCATTAACTGCCGACAGGCAGCTAGTAGTATACTTTAGTGTTCAAATGGAAAGCGCTGACTCTACGTGAGGATTGATGATGTCTTAACAGCCTGTTGTGTTGATTTATTCGGATGAAATTAGTAGAAGATATCTGACAGGAAAGCAGTAGATTAGTTTGTCTGAATTAAAGTCTTCGTTGCATGCTTGAGGGACCGTTATCTATACACCCTAAATGTGAGAATAAGTATCCAATTCTGAAATTTCGACCGCATGTCGATAAATGTGAGTGCTTGTGTATTATTAAAAAATTTAATAGTATACCATTACAAAAACTACGACGAAATGGACGGTTTTCGTGTTTTAGCTTACCTGCTTGTATGGGGTATTGCACGGTGAAGTTTCTCCTTTGCAGCAGGAAGGGGGAACAGACGTGCCCCAATCCTCGGGACCGTGTCCTCCGCAACAGTTGAGCTGGATATAAAAATGCTCTTACAATGCACTAGCCTACCTTTTGCTGGAGCTTATTAAACGCCTTTCGGGTTTCCTTTTGTTCTGTTGCGGGAAGTGAGTCCAGGTGCTTTATCTGATAAGCAATGCCCTCTGCCACCACCGTTGTGAACTATTTTGGAGTTAGGGGAGATTAATCGGCATATCCAAGGGACAAGGTATTCTCACCTTGCTTCTGTAGACAAAGACTAATATACCAGCAATTATTTGCAGTATCAGCAGAATGATGATAATTGCGGCAAACTAAGCAAAAGTCATGAGAATCATTGAAGAAAGCATTACAGTTTTTAGCATGCAGACATGCTCCTTGCAGGCTCCGCAACAGCCCAGGAATCCTATTAGAAACACAAGCAGGCCCACGGTTAGGATGAAGGCTGGGATGGCGATTGCTTGGCCATTAAGCTCATTTCTTGATTGCACAACCATGTAGATTCCGAATCCAGTTATGACGGCGCCGAAAATCTGCAATAAGAAGTAGTAAACTAATTAAACTCACATATATTATGAGACCTACTTCGTGTTCCACTCCATTCATATTCTCATTCCAATTTTCGTCACTATTAAAGACGCCAGCTTGCAAAACAATCACACTGAATACCACTCTAGCTCGTCCCCTGAATAAAGCAAGGCGTGCAGCATACCTATTTAAAGAAATACGTGCAATTTTCCTCGTACGCTAGACTTTTATCACTATCCGAATATGGATTCGCCTTGACACAAACTTAAGTTAGATATTAGGATGAACAGCCATGTCCGATAAAAGTGCCATTATAAATACAACCTGTGCCTTAGACCTCCCATATTGTTTGCTGTTTTGTTTGAGTTATGGCCATTTAGAACTGTACGAGGCATAACAGATGTTCTTATGTGGTTTGGCCGTTCAACATTCAGAAGGCAATGTTTTTGGTCTTACGCCCTTGTCGACACGCGCAACACCTTATCACTGCAATATACAAGGAAGAGTTGGTTGTTATATACGCCCTCTGATGACATCTCAAACAACTTATCACAATCATATCTCATACATATTATATCATGAATAGCCTATCTAAAGCTAGGAGAACATATCTGGATTATAAGTGCTTCCAACTAGATCTGGTAATCAAGTTACAAGAAGACACTCAATTAACAAACACGTTGGTTGTCAATATGGGTGCTTTCCTCGAAATTAGTTCTTTCACAAGCCCCTTGTTAAACTTCCAACGCCTCCATCCTTCATTTAGGTTTTACGGAATATTTCGTGACAAGGATACTCTTGGATCTTTTTGTTGGATACAAGGCTCTGTCTTTGTCTATCACCGATTAAGTTGCTGTAGGGGCAGTGAAGCAAAGCTTGGTGTCTGCCCCGAAAACGCATTAGTTTACAATCGTTTGGTTAACAAAAGACGCACGGATGAGCTGCTAGACTGACAAAACAAATTGACATAGCAAAAGCCAGGGAAAAATTTTAGCTGCGCAAACCCCCTCTTCCCTGCATTTCTCAGTTCTCAACAAGTACTGTCTTGTACGTCGGCTTCGTTAGAACTTTCAGTCTGCCTAGTAAGTTAAAACAGCTACGCCGTCAGTAATGACTCAAAATTCGCATATGCCTTTCAGGGAACATGCAAAAATAGTATAAACGATAGCATTGGAGTGTTGTTCTGTTATGCCTAATTGAAGGAAAATGGGGACTCTGGAACAGAATGCGAATAATGGTGCTTGTAAGAGCAGTAGCCTTTCGTCAACGCAGAGAGTGACAGTTATTATCTACAGGAGGTGGCTTTGATATAAACTGTGCATTTCGTATTGCCTGAGCTTTCTGCCAAATTTTCTTAAGTATGTGCACGTCTCAACATAAGGTCCATAATGAACATATTTACCGGGCAATTTGCAAGTCTTGGTTAGGACAAGCAACATGGATTCACAGGCAAGTAAAGCTTAATATCTGCTTAAATGCATTGAATTTTTGTAGGAGATTATTGAAGATGAATGGAAAGAACACTTACGAACACCAGCGCATTGAATATGAAGAGGAGGTATTTGATGCATTTGGCGCCACAAGAGAGGTCCATGTTTGTGCTGCTTTGTCTGAAGCTTTTTGAGTAATTACATTTATATTTCCCAAACCCGCCACTAAAGGCTCGATTTCCTGTGTCCAATCAGGTGGTTATAGCCTTGTTTTCCGTCTAGCCCCTTGCTGTCACACGTTCGAGGTCCTGGGTAGTCTTGAGTGAGTAATCCCTTCCGTGTCAGTCAAGGTGTTGGTTTCCGTGCGTGAAATACTGTATTGCAACTAGTGCACTACGCATTCACAATGGTGAATTTGCGTGGAAAATTTGCTGTGCTAAAAAGCTGAACGAACCTTGTTTCGCTAGTGAGAATTAAAACTTTTATTTAGAAATGAGATTTCTTTATTCTCACAAACGGCTAACATTTAATGACAATATATTGCAGAAAATTCAGGTAAAGCGTTTTATTTCTGTTCTTATCCGATCGTTCTGACTTAGCTCTGCGGCTTGTTTTTAATCGCCTCTTAGTTGCACAGATATGTGGAACATTCATATGAGTCGAATAAGTTAGGGAAAAATCCTTAAAAGTTATTAACCCTGAAGGCACCGGAAAATTATGTCATTTTTATGATTTTACTTTGAAAGTTACTTATTATTTGCTTATGCTTGCTCCACTGTTCGTAAATCAGGTAGGTCTTGAAATTAAAGGTGTGATATAAAGTTGGTTTTTTAGATCTGACCTAACAATCTAAGAAACGCAAAATACGAAGGCAATCTAGCTGTGTGCTGTATAAACGTCACAAGTGAAGCAATGCGACAGCCACTTGCAAAACAATCCATCTTTTTTATTCGAAAGCTTTAGATAGTCACAAGTGCCAGCGTTGGTTTGTATAATTCCAATTAAGCAATTTTGATATCACCGACGCCTATCATCCAGGAAGTCCAGTGGTGCTGGATAATGATATTTTGTCTTCAACGTTTGAGTCAGATCCCATTCGGACCTTCAAGTTCTTATCATAAAAACTAGGTTCGTCACAGTCTAAAGCTCAGGAACACGTTCAATAGATGCAGAAGACAACGAATTTGAATTTCATGCCAACCTTCGGTAAAAAACCTGGCGCGATGTTCCATAATCCGCAACGTTTTGCTAAGCAGACATGAAGAGTAACTATTTCTTCAAGGAATTGTCAATGGAGATTATGAATGGATTTTTGACGCTGACAAAAAGCTCAAAAACCGACGGCTTTTCACAGGTCAGATGCCAGGTCCTACGCCGGAATCATGTCCATATCCCAAGAAAGGCTTGCTATGTCTTTTGATGGTGTGTGGCGGACATATTTCACTTGGGGCTACCGGAACAGGGTCAGACCGTGGCAGCAGTCTATTGTCAACTTTTAAAAATATCAATCATGCAAAAATCGGGCTCTCGGAATTCTTTTGGGGCACAACGTACTTCCTTTTATAAAGAAGGAACTGAAAACCTAGCTCCCTGATGAACAACAGTGATTTGTGACGATGGTAATTACATAAATGACTAAAAATTAAAAAAATTTCCGACAACCGTTTTCGTATCATTTGTTAAAAAACGACACCAAGTACCACCGCTCCAAGCGTATTTAATATATGTCAAACAAAATCCTTATTACATATGAGGAACCGCCGACATTATGGAACATTTTTATGAAAACATGAAGATACTCATAGGCTTTTGAAAGGTGCTTAAAATACCTTGAGCGAAAAGTCGGTATTCTATTCCCACACGACCTGGTCAAGGTAAAGTTTCAAGATAATAATTCTAGTAGTGTCATTTAGATTATGTATCACATTTGAAAATTCGTTTCAAATTTTCTATAATTATTGCATTTGCATTTTCGCCCCCTCTTGGATTCAGTATTGTTAGGATTCAACTTCTTGCATAAGGTGCACCGGAAAAGGTGTACGTTGTCACACCTTCGAGTGCTGGCGAAGAATTCAAATTCGGTTATCCAATAAAACACTTGTACAAACGCTCATGGGATGTTCAAAGACTGTAGTTTGGGAAAGTGAAAATAACACGGTATTCTTGGTGTTTTAAAGTGCCTCTTCTTTCAATGCAGACTATCTGTCCAAAGCGAAAATGAACTGGTACAAAAGCTAAAGGCCCACCCCCTCGCTTCACATATGATTTGAAAGAAAAATCGATAAGTTGATGAAACTCTACTTGGAAAGGCAAATGATCACGATTGTAATAACATTGTCAGTAATTAACCAAACGGAGTTCCGAGTTGCAAAAGAGCTGTGTTAATTATCTTGTCACTACTATCGAATCTGGAAATTGTTGACTAGACACACCTTCCTTGGTTAATGGGTTATGCTTCAGGCCGCAACCCAAAGCTTTGAAAATTTCCTTGATTTCTCAGTGTGCCAGAATATCTTTCTTTGGGTACCACGAACGGTGAGTCTTCAAGTTTGTTGTCAGGTTGGGGTTTAACCGTCGCATTACCGCTAGACGCATAGGTGGAGTTTTTCCGCCACCCCATGTGCTCCACTTGAAGGAGTGACTGGCGAGGACGTATGAGTTAGTGTCATTCTACTCTACTGAAGATGATGCTTCGGTCTTCATCGTATGGAGAAGGTTTCTGTTACTATAACACGGATGCTCGACTCATAAATGCACCAGATACGGTAAACTTCTGGGCTTGTGCCGTTTCGATTCTTCTCACCTTTTTGTTGGGCCATCGCGCAAATATAAATCTCACTCGAGGAAACGAGCATTCATTCCATTTCTTGCTTCCCCCAGTTTGAATCCTTGTATAAATGAATGGATTTTAATGTATTAAGTCCTCCTTCCTAGCAATTTACCAGAATTTCTCATATGACAGTGCTCCAAACGTACGTAAGTTAGCATTGCAGGGGTTCCAATCAGTGTGGTTTTTTCAACGAACTTCGTACGGGTCCGAAACTATTGACTACACAGCCGTTTGTGCACTAAGTTCATAAAGACATGCTGAACATACGTATATATATAGGCAGAATGGAATTACCGACAAAGACAAGGGAGACTGGAATGGCCATTTCTGGCTTGTTAGCCGTCGTCAGCCAGCCATACCCAAGCCCGAAGTGTGGAACACCCGCGAGTTCGAGGCTCGGGTGTTCCACACTTCGGGCTTGGGTATGGCTGGCTGACGACGGCTAATAAGCCAGAAATGGCCATTCCAGTCTCCCTTGTCTTTGTCGGTAATTCCATTCTGCCTATATATCATGCGCCGCTGTGCGGCTGCTGGTTGGGCTCGCGAGAGAGAGCCCTTAAGGCACAACGGAACGAGTGAGTTCCGTATGAACGATAGGTGAGCGCCCTCTACCATTATATATATATATTGCAGAGGGGAGACGGCAGAGTCTGAGGGGTTGAAGTATACTGATAAAGTACTAGTTTGAGCTTGTTTGCCTTCACTCGGCCAGTCATAACCCTGACCACCAGCTGGGACCAGAAAAACAAACATGGCCCTAAACACCCAGCGCAGCAGGTCCACCAATGGGGTCTAGCAGATAGGTCATAAGCACCTTATCAAAACGAATTTCATCAGTGCCTCGCCTCCCGCCATTCTCTGTCGTTGCAGATCAGGTAGATATTCATTGAAGAATGGGCACACACCGACCTATTGGCTTCTCCAAGCAAACAAGCTCCGTATAGGTGGCAAAGGTCATGAACAGACAACCAACTAGCAGGCCGAAATCGACCAAGTCATAATAGCAGCAAGGAGGGACGACAGATTCTGAGGGGATTGAATGATACAGAAGTGTTTCGGGCTTGTCTGCCTTAATTCAGCCAACCACAACCCTGAACAACAGCTGGGGCCAGAAACACAAACACGCGCGCACATGTTTGCTTCGGGAAGCCAATAGATGCGCCCATTCCTGATATATATATATATATATATATGTTGGAAAGGTAATACCGACAAAGACAAGGGAGACCGGAATGGCCATTTCTGGCTTATTAGCCGTCATCAGCCAGTCATACCCAACCCCAAGTGTGGATCACTTGAGATTCGAACCCGGGATCTTTGGTCATGGAGTTGAACGCTCTACCATTGAGCCACGGGCCCGTTGTCCTGTCGGTTGTGATCGGGAATATTAATTATGATAGTGGGCGCTCACCGATCAGGTTACGGAACATGCTCGTTCCGTTGTGCCTTGGGACTCATACTTAAAACCCTCGCAGGCAGTCGCACAGCGACTAGTGATATATGTTGGAAAGGTAATACCGACAAAGACAAGGGAGACCGGAATGGCCATTTCTGGCTTATTAGCCGTCATCAGCCAGTCATACCCAACCCCAAGTGTGGATCACTTGAGATTCGAACCCGGGATCTTTGGTCATGGAGTTGAACGCTCTACCATTGAGCCACGGACCCGTTGTCCTGTCGGTTGTGATCGGGAATATTAATTATGATAGTGGGCGCTCACCGATCAGGTTACGGAACATGCTCCTTCCGTTGTGCCTTGGGGCTCATACTTAAACCCTCGCAGGCAGTCGCACAGCGACTAGTGATATATATATATATATATGTATGTCTTGGTGTTTGTTTACGAGTGTGATGATCCTCGTATTAAAGTCGGACCTTCCCGAATTTCCAATGGGTTAGCGTTCATGATAAAATTGGGAAGGTTTGGATAAGAATTATGATTATAAGGGTTTGTGTTGTGGCTGGAATGGTAACGGCAAATATTATGGCTATGGCTAATGCTAGGACACGAAAATAGGAACCCCCTGGAATTAAGCGCGGGGTCCATATTCTTGTGTCCTACCACCCAGATTATAATTAAATTTAAGTATTGTTTACCAGCGTAAGGCATTTACGGAATGCTTATAGATACTACAACATCAAACCACAGAAATGGCCACCACATAAAACCGTCCGGCTGTAATCCCAGAATAAATATTTGCTAGTCTTGAGGGTATAGACATGGAATATATTCTTCGGGAGTCGTGACAGAATTAAACTACAACTTTTCGTTCTTGATGAAAACCATAAGTTTATGTTAATTTGAGACATCGTAGTAAATAATCATGTAGAAAG